ATTCTTGTTTGCACTGTATGCTTGCAGGATTTCCTAAGCCTGACTCTCTCTGGGAGAAGTGAGCAAGCTCTTCAAAAAATATTAACCTTTCTTTGAAAAGTGGCTTGTCTCTTGACATGCTTCACACATTGCATTTATTCTTGGAAAAACACTTCTTCCTCTTTTCAGAAGTGCCCCTTCAGTCTCAAGGAGGAAACTCATGTCCCTACGGTGCACTTAGTGCTGGCTCTGAACATAGACAGGCACCCAAACCCATGCTTAATGCCATTTGCCTTTCTTTATAAAGAAAAGTCTAGTTACCCAAGCATAAGCCTTATCTGTCATTTCAGTGGGCACTAGCAGACATTACAGGCTAGTTAGGGATTTGTGTCCAAGAGGCTCCCAGTTTAAATGAAACAAGAACTTGAAGACAATAAACAACCCAGTGAGATCCTAAAGATCTTCACCTTCTAGCTTCAGAATTTGAGGACTGGAGTAGCTTGCTCCATTTAATTCTTAAAAAGATCCTTCAGAAGGTACAATTCCTAGTGCATATTTATTTGCTGCTCTCTTGACTTTCCCACATGCCTACATATGCCTACTGTCGTTCTTGGGCAATTAGAGGAAGGTGATATGGTCAGTTTTCTCCTTTGCCCTAACATTCATAAATGTAAAGAAAAGGCCATGACACTAGTCGGGAAGGATGACTATAGGTATCCGACTTCTATGTGCATGATTTCCCTCAATACTTAGATTAGTATCTCCCACAGTTTATGGATGGTTAGAATCTCCTGAGTAGCTTTGATGATACTGATTGCAGGCCCTTGCTCTTGGAATTTTAATCCATCAGACATTGGATAGAAACCAATAATGATGATATTTAGTGAGCACCCCTAAGTCAATTAGACAGTACTAGTACTGAATAAGTTTGTCTTAAAAATCTTTTCCAGATCTGGTGATGGAAACTTTAGGTGGATCATTTGAATCTGGCATGGCAGTTGCCATCATTCCAATCCTCTCCCACTCCTATCGAGTCGAAGACTTCACTATGTGGGGCACATTGACAATAGATCTTTCCTAGCGGGGGCTTTGTAATTAGCAGCAGTAAAGCAGTTATTAAATGTCCATACTACCTGGTAACTCTACTTACTTCTTGCATTTTATTTTGCCCGCTGGTTTTATTCAAGTCTTCCAAGATTTGCATGGATGCTTAAGCATATATTAACAACACCTGAAATTCAAGGAGTGACAAAGACGAGATATTATCATGCATGCATTATTTGTATGTTTTCATAAGTATGGGTGACAAACATACTTTACAAATCAATTTCTTTTCCTTTGTCAGTCTACTGCTCTCTATCCCCCAAAAGAATGACTGGGTAGAGGAGGAACTTTATAGAGTTGAAAAAATAATAAAGAAAAAAAGGAAGGAAGGAAGGAGAGAAAGAAGGGGAAGAGCACAAACCTTTATCTGAAAAATAAATTAGACAGCAAAAAAGGGCTGGGAGCACGGCTTGAGTGGTAGAGTGTTTGCCTAACAAAGCATGAGGCCTTGCATTTAAAACCCCAGTATGGCCAAAAAAAAAGAAAAAGAAAAAGGTACTTATTCTAAACTATAGGGAGGGCAGGAAGAAGGGAAAATCATCTTTTCTTAGAACTTCTAATCACAGACTGGTCCTCATATATGTTTTCTGTCTGAATTCTATCTGGGTCCAAAAAATAAAAATAACCTTAACACTAAAAATCCCAGTCTGTAAATTTAAAGTTGCCTGGTACAAATAATGCTCAGGCATCTGGTATAAATAAATGAAAATTCTATCAGGAAAAATTCACCACTAGCCAAGTATTTTAAGTATTCTCATAGATATGTTTCTAAAAATTATATGAGTATATGCCATCAGAATCAGAAATACACAAGGAAATAAGGCACTATTAGTGAGCTCTAGCAGAAAAACAGGCAGTAGAATCCTCTCCTGCTGTACTTTTCTCTAATTTTTGTATCCAGCACTTTTTCCAGTGATGATGTTGTGTTTCATCTTTTAACCTAAGCAACACTCAAAACTCCTGAAATTCATTTCACCATCTTCTAAATATGTGTGTATGAAAGTTTCATCTTTCTAGTAGCTAACTTGCATTGAGTGTTTTACTGTGTGTACTTTGCTAAGACCATAGCATAGTACATAAAACCTTTATGATGACACCACAAGGCACACTGTACTCTTATTCCTATTTTACAGAAAGAAAATGAGGCTGTTGAGTACTTGCCCAGGATCAAACCTACTAAGAGATGAAGCTAGCCCTTGAAACCAGTACTGTTTTTTTTCTAAATTATGTTTTCAATATTATCTGAAAACCACAGATAATAATAATAATTAATAATAATTAATTTTTACCTAATGTTCATTTTCTGTTCCAGGATCCCACCCCATATAAAACATTACATTTAATCAAGTTTCATTGGCCTAATTTAGCTATGAATTTTTCAGATTTGCTTTATTTTCTCAAACACTTTTTAATTATTTTTTATTTTTATTTATTTTTATTGTTTTATTATTCATATGTGCATACAATGCTTGGGTCATTTCTCCCCCCTGCTCCCACCCCCTCCCTTACCACCCACTCAGCCCCTCCCTCTCCCTCCACCCCCTCGATACCCGGCAGAAACTATTTTGCCCTTATCTCTAATTTTGTTGAAGAGAGAGTATAAGCAATAATAGGAAGGAACAAGGGTTTTTGCTAGTTGAGATAAGGATAGCTATACAGGGAGTTGACTCACATTAATTTCCTGTGCATGTGTATTACCTTCTAGGTTAACTCTTTTTGATCTAACCTTTTCTCTAGTTCCTGGTCCCCATTTCCTATTGGCCTCAGTTGCTTTTAAGGTATCTGCTTTAGTTTCTCTGCATTGAGGGTAACAAATGCTAGCTAATTTTTTAGGTGTCTTACCTATCCTCACACCTCCCTTGTGTGCTCTCGCTTTTATCATGTGCTCAAAGTCCAATCCCCTTGTTGTGTTTGCCCTTGATCTAATGTCTGCATATGAGGGAGAACATACGATTTTTGGTCTTTTGGGCCAGGCCAACCTCACTCAGAATGATGTTCTCCAATTTCATCCATTTACCGGTGAATGATAACATTTTGTTCTTCTTCATGGCTGCATAAAATTCCATTGTGTATAGATACCACATTTTCTTAATCCATTCGTCAGTAGTGGGGCATCTTGGCTGTTTCCATAACTTGGCTTTTGTGAATAGCGCCGCAATAAACATGGGTGTGCAGGTGCCTCTGCAGTAACCTGTGTCACAGTCTTTTGGGTATATCCCCAAGAGTGGTATTGCTGAATCAAATGGTAGATCAATGTCTAGCTTTTTAAGTAGCCTCCAAATTTTTTTCCAGAGTGGTTGTACTAGTTTACATTCTCACCAACAGTGTAAGAGGGTTCCTTTTCCCCTGCATCTTTGCCAACACCTGTTGTTGGTGGTGTTGCTGATGATGGCTATTCTAACAGGGGTGAGGTGGAATCTTAGTGTGGTTTTAATTTGCATTTCCTTTATTGCTAGAGATGGTGAGCATTTTTTCATGTGTTTTTTTTGCCATTTGAATTTCTTCTTTTGTGAAAGTTCTGTTTAGTTTACTTGCCCATTTCTTTATTGGTTCATTAGTTTTAGGAGAATTTAGTTCAAAACACTTTTTTAAAAAGGTATGCATGCAGTCACCTTTCATCACCTAGAACACCATACCAGCTGTAATTCATTGGGTATCACTGTGTGTAGCTCTGTCATCTTCATGACAGCCCTCCAAGTCAGATATTATAATCCTCACTTTATAGATAAGAAAGCAGCCTCAGAGAGATGAAAACTAATGGTCCAGGTCACAGAGCTGATCACAGAACAAATGATGATGTTGGGATCATGACCATTAGTCTGACCACGAATCTCATGTTGTTTTCACTGTTTTAATTTAAACTGCTTATGCATGTGTGCTTTTTAAAAATAAAATTGTGTGTTAATATGAGTCAGAGGACACAAAGAAGATCTATTTCTGGTCCAACTCTCTTCTCTAATACTTCCTTTTGTAGATTCCTCAACAAAAGGTTCTAAGCATGCAGACAAAAGTCAACAGTGCAGTTTGTTTACTCTTTCAGAAACCATACAGTCAAATTTGAGCAGTTGTGATGGTTAGATCTGTGTTCCTTCAAATGATTTTTGGCTTTTATTCTTATTGAGGCTTTTCAAATACAGTCATCTAATCTTTCTACCTGCGAACTCTGCATTTGGCCGACAGGTCTCCCTTTACACTCTTTCCCTGACAGGCTATTGTTTCCTTTGCCATTGTAATGATGCCACTTTATAGCACACTGACTGTCAAGTCATTACGGTGCACTAATTACAGGACAGCAATGTGTATATCCTATACAATCAGGGCTCAATAACTGCTGTTGACTGACTCTTTGCTTACCATCACCGCTATCGCCCCTTTCCCCTCCCCTCTCAACACACTACATATCTAACGCATCAGGTCCACAGGGCCCCAGCAATGACACTTCTTCCAACCCTTTAAATGCGGCAGACATCTCTAGAAAACCTCTTGAGACACTAGTTTGAAAGGTGAGTCAAACATAAGGGGGATAATTTTTGAGTTTGACAAACAAGTTAAAGGGCAAAGGCAGTGAGCCCTGCACACGGGCAGACAGTTCCTTTCTTCCCACAGCGCTGAGACAGGCAGGCGCTTCCCCGCTGATCTGCCAGGACAGCGGCGCGGGGAGGGGCAGGGATGACGCTTCGCTCTAAGCAACTGGTTTTGCTGAGAGTTCACGTTCAAGGCTAGAGGACTGACTGCTCAGCAACACTGCGGTGCCCCAGGCCTTCAAGTCAGCTTCCTAGAGACCGCTCCACCAACGAAGTAGCTAATCAGAGAAGGAAAGAAGCAGGCAAAGCAGCCAGACAGTAACGAAAGGGTGTTCTTACCAAAGTTGTCTATATCCTCGCGTGAGCCAGTGCCTGGGCTTTGTGGTCAGCACCATGGACAGCACCCGCGAACCGACTCCGGGGCGTTTGGACGCAGCTGGCTTCTGGCAGGTCTGGCAGCGTTTTGACGCAGACGGTGAGTAGAAAAACCATGTGCACACTCAGGTGTAGATGCGGCTCCGCGCCCAGCCCGCTGAAAGCACCTAGAGTTTTTTTCTTCTTGCATGTCTTTCCCTGTAGGAGAAGTCTCCCTGCGTTGTTAATGCACTATACCTAGAGCAGTATATATAACAGATGTAAGTGGTGTTACACGTCTAGATATCTTGTGAAAATTCAGGATGGAGAGAAAGACATATCATTATATATGTATTTATATATATACACACATACATATATAGGCCTGTGGGCTAAGGTTCAACATATGAAGCCAGCCTTCCCTTAACGTGCTCATTTTTATTAAGTGACCCTGTCATACACCCCCCCACACACACTTTCTAAAAGGAGAATAGTTTTATCAACTTTTAAATTTACTACCCCGTGCCCAAGAAGTTTCTTGAAAATAAAATGGAACTACTTATTAGTTCTTTATTAGTAATTGATGAAAAATAAAGAAAACATCTAAAACCTGCAAACTACAATTCAGTATTTACCCCTTAAGTTTTCCTAAGCTTTCGAAGTCCTTGAGTGTTATTTTAATCTAAAGCTTGTGTTTATTCATTGATTAAAATTCATATGTTTCATAGAGTTTTTTCCAAATATTAATGTAAACCCCAGGATAAAGCATTTACTCTGGCACATGTATTCCTGTCCAAATCCATGTCCTCTGGAGCTGGACATTGGTGCTTAGTTATTGGAATAATAAAGTAGTATTCATGGGACTTTTGCAAATTGTGAAATTAAAAGCAAGTTTAGATAATGCTAAATGTCAGATATTATTCTACATAAGTGACTATCGTGTTTATCCTCTTGCATTTAGAAAAAGGTTACATAGAAGAGAAGGAACTCGATGCTTTCTTTCATCATATGGTGATGAAATTGGGTACTGATGTAAGTACTTGGAGCACTAAGCATTGTTAGTGTGTCTCTTAGTGAAATATAAAGTGTCCAAGTGTTGTGTTGATTTACACCTACTAATCCCATCTTATCTCTTTTCTTCCTTGCATGCATGTTATTTTTCATTCTCCCCCTCTCCTGTGTTCCCTCTCCTTCCCTCCCCTCTCATCAAGCAATTTACACAGGTTTTTATGAGATACAAGTGTAACATTAGATGGGCTGTTCATCACTTTTCATTGTAACATCTGTCATCCACTTAGAGATCCTAACTGTAGACCGTCATCTCCAATTTAAACGTTTCCTTGGTTACATCTCTGCTGATGGATTTAAACCTGGAGATAGGGCAGTCTACTTTGATCAGAAGCTCAAAAGAGTTTAAAAAAAAGGTAAGAGTTCTAGGTTTTTAGTACATATGATACTCCTTCAATAGCAAATGACAAACCATTTAAAATCATTCTTCCATTATTCATTTTATTAGATAAAATAAAATACTAGATAATGTTAGTCTAGTTTGTCAGAGAATGACAAACTGAAAAGAAACCAATATATTCAGAGTCTAGATATAAATGTAAATCAACTTGTCCAGTATTTGTGTCCCAGATGGTAAATCTAGCCTTCAGAGATGTAGATTAACTCTTGAATATTCCTGGAGAAAAACAGAAGAAAAACTCACGCAGAGATACCTGAGCAAAGACCAGCTTAGGGATAGGCTCGGGGTGGAGAAAGCTTTGTTCTGGCATGTGCAGTAAGAGGAAGAGCTCTGGGACAGCTTCTTTGAAGTGAATCGTGAAGACAGTTTGTCTTCAGACTTCAGTTGTTTACCTGGAAGAATATTCAAGTACATCACATTCTCATGTCAGAGCTCAGAGAGGGGACAAAGCAGCTCTCCATCACTGGAGTGCATGGAAAGAGTGTTGAGGGTTAGAGAGCAACAAGCTCAGAAAACAAGAGGCTGCCACCTGTCTCCATCAGCCACACAGACCTCTTGGTATCCTTCTAGTCTCTCTGCCTCTCATATTCTGGCTCCCTTTTTGTGTTTGTCTCCTATTTTTCTGCTCATTTTTGTATCTCATCTGAGTTTTATGGCTCTTATCTCCCATTGTCTCTTGCCTTTATCTCTGACCTCTGTCTCTTATCTCTCTTGTCACTATCCCATCTGTCTGCTTCTCACCTGTTTCTCCAGCCTTCTGTTTTTTCGATCTCTAGTTTGTTTCTCAAAGCTCTGTCTTGGTCCTTCCTTTCCCCATGTCTTTTATTTTTCTTTTGCTCTTTGTTTCCTACTTCTCTGTCCAATCTATACGTTTGCCCTTCACTTATTTTCTCTTATCCACTTCTGCTTCCCACCTCATCTTTGTCTCTGTCTGTATCACTCTTTGTTGGCCTACCCCCATGTCTGCAGCTTGTGATATAAAGGAAATGGAAGGTGAGAAAAAGGACTCCCCTCTCCATGGCCGCAGCTTTACACTCACTTCTCTTCATCCTTCATTACTGCACTTGCACAAACCACCAGTCAAACTGAAGAAGCATCCCCCTAAGTGAGCCTTACTCTTCAATTCTCCTGCCTAGCATCACATGCCAGCAGCCTTACATCTGTAAATGTTAAGTCTTATTCATTGTAGGAACCCATGAATCAGATGCCATTTATCAACCATGCATAGGGATATTGGAAGAAAGTAAAAAGGTAAAGATGAAACTATTCAAAGCCTTGGATGGTCAACTCTCAAACTTCAAAATAGGATGAGTCAGCTTCCAAAAATTTAAATCTCAAGAGACTTGGACCTTTATACCTTTCCCAGAAAGCCCTAGTGATTTATAGAAAAAGAAGGAGAAAATCACCATCAGTGTTGAAACTGGAAGTGTCTTCTTTTTAGTCGTGGGTGAGTGTGTCTACTCAAACACAATGGTCTGCTGTAGGCTGAGTAGCCTTACCATACCCTGTAAGAGAGAAGAACATTACTCTTGCAGCTTGACTGTTCTTTTCTCCAGGCCTCTCCCAGATCTGGTCCATGGACTCACTCTTTCACATAAGGGCAAGCACAGATTTTGAGGAAAGGAGAACACATGTAAGTCACCAGTGTCTTGTACAATTATGTTCAGTGCAGGTGTCCTTGTGGTTAGAAAAGGGGTTGGAATGTCTCAGAGGCCTTAGACCAGTACAAATCAAATTTTGGTGTGTGTGTGCTTAATTCATTATTTTGTACAATTAATGTATGCTAAAAAAGTCAGCATTTGTTAAGAACGCATTTTAAAAACACCCTAAGTCAGTTTGCATCTCTTTTTACCTTCTGTCCCCACAAGTACTCTGAGTGCTTATAGACAGGGGCTTTTCATTTAATCAGGAGAGTCTCACTGAGCTATTTGCAGCAGCCTCAATTACTGAAGAGCAACATTCTCTTCAGTACTTGGCCATACTGTGGGGAGTATGGTGGCAGGAATCTGTGCTGGCCACTTGGTGCTACCTAGAGAAATACCTTAATTCTGGGCTTTTCCCTCATGAGCAATGAGTAGGTCCTAATTAAGTTCAATCAAAAGGGACAGCCCCACTTGCTGTGACATTGCTTTTGATGGGTGATGCCCAGTGAATTCTGAAGCCGGCAGAAGAGGCCTCCAAACATCAGACCTTTGCTCTGGTGTTTTGGAGTGGCAAGTGATTCTTCAGAAACTTGAGTAATTTGCTGATTAGTGGGTCACAGAGACCTGAGAGGAAGGATTTTGAGGTTTCCAACAGCAGGCTGCCTGCTTACAAGTCTTGGAGAACAGCCACCCTACTTGTAATTACCTGCTTCTCACAGCTTCTGAGGGGATTAGATTATTGGAAACACCAGCCACTATTGCTGCTGTTTGGTACTCTCCTGACCTTTTCAAATGCTGAGAACTGGCCTTAAACTGGGACTATATCTAACCAGTCCATTCCTGAGCATCAGTTTCTAAGGGTATACTTTTCTCATGTACAGATTATACTACGTTCTCGGGCCTCTTACAGCGCTTTGAAGGTTAGAAGTACTCTGCTGTGACTGCTAAAGTCACAGACAAGGATTGATGAGAATTACAACCAAGGAAACTCTGGCTCTTTCCCATTAGATCCAAGTAATAGGCTTTAGGATGAGAGGTCTGGAAAGTCAGAAGATAAGTCTCTGTGCCCTTAAACTAAAGGTTGAATGTAGAACCTGGGCTCTGTTTCTTTCACTTCATATTTCTTTGAAATCTAATTTTCAACCAACATGACCAATGTTAATTAAGTTTCTATGGGAATGCTATCCCATCATAAAAAATAATTTATTCATTCAACAGATACTATGTTCCAGAGGGAAATAAATGATTGCTGTCCTGGCAGAGTTCTTAATCTCAAAGGTTAAGCTGAAATGTGAAGGTCCATTGTGTTGAAGGGTTTTCCTGTCAGGTGGATGCACATCTGTGTTTAGCTAGGGTTCTCCAAAGAAACAGAACCAATAGTAGTATGCATATATATAATCATATATAATGGTATACATATATGTCACATATTTTATATATGAGAGGGAATTTATTAGGAAATTACCTCGTGCTACTATGGTGACTGAGAAGTCCTATGATAGGTTTTCTGTATGCTGGAGACCCTGGGATTGCTGAGAGCATGGTGTAGTCCAAGTCTGAAGAGCTCAGAATCAGTGAACCCAATGGCATTGTTCTCTGTTTAAGGGTAAAGTCTGAGAATCCAGGGAGGGGGGCTGCTGGCATATGTCCTGATATCCAAGGGCCAGAGGTCTAAAGCAGGAGATGATCATGTCCCAGCTTTTGAGAAGCTGAGGGGAGACCAGTTTGCCTTCTGTATTTATTCTTTCTATCTGCAGTCATTTGGATGGTGTTTATCCCCCCCACCATCCCAGTCCACTCAGTCTCACATGCTAACCTCCTCTGGAAAAACCCTCATAGATACACCCACAATGTTTTCCAAGTTTCTAGGTATTCCTTAATCTAGTCAAAGTGACTCCTACAATTAACTGTTACACTACCCAAATGACACACACAGTTGGTGGTGGTGACAGTAGATAGGCATTAGGGAACCTGGTTGGTGTGAGATCTTGGAATGTCTGAATACTGTTCACCTTCCACAGAAACAAAAATTGCCTTCTGTCTCTGAAGACCTGTTTTAGAGAAGTCACATGGTATGGGGAAAGGCAACTGCATGCAGAGACAGAAATCCAGTGTTTATATTCCAGCTCTGAACCTATAGCCATGTGGTATCAACATGACATTTAAGCTCCCTGGGTCTCAACTTTAATGTCCATAAAATGGACATGTTTTGGCCCATAAGACAACATAAGTGAAAAATGCTTTTTTGGTTGTGGAAGTATCTACTGTACATGTGATGTGGTATCTTCCTGAACATATCCTAAGTTTTCCCAGTGTTTATTCTAGTTTATTCTATTTATTCTAGACTCAGTTTTGCTTTAGATCCACCAATGAATTAACCCACACAAGATGATTGAGGCTTACTTTATTAAACACTGAAGGTTTTAGAACCTACAATAAACACATATATCAATGAGATTTCCAGTTTGTGAAAGCAAGTTTTGTGAGCAAATGTAGCCTTTTGAAAATGCCTAAATTATACTTATCACTACCACCCTTTTGTTCCTCATGAGTAAAGGAAGCTATGCCAGAGGAAATGGTAGACAACAGACAGTCACCTCAGGTGCTCATGATACTTTCTCAGTCTGATACAAATAATCCAGGCATTATCTCCCATTTCTATATGTCATTTTGGTTCCAAATCACCACAGTCTTTTTTCTTGTTTTTTATTTTAAGTGTGTTCACTTAAGAAGGTATTCATTTTTTTTAAACTAGGCCCTTGATTATTCCCTATTTATAATCAAATGAATACATTTATTTGATCTATTTACAGAGTCAATCTGTCTAAGTCCTCTTATTTTAATTATTCTAAATACAAGACCAAACTATCAATCTAGCAGATGGCTTAGTATGGCTAAGATACACAAATCCATTTGATTAATACATTGTTTCAATCACAAATGCTAGTGGTTTGGTTTACCTTTTTTTCAAAATTTGAAATAGCTATACATGTAGATACTAAAAACTAAGATGATATTGGGGGATCAAATATTTTATATTATTTCAGCTCAGCATATCTTTTCTACCCCACTGTTATAACCCATCAAGCATTTGCTGTGCACTCACATTCTGCCATTGGTGAGACAGGATCCCAATGTCAAAGGCCACAATCTTGTAATAATGCTCTAGCTCCCTAGCATATAGTTGCTTCTGCTGGACAAGGTGCCCCATGGATCGCTAAGAACTGACCTTCAAAATTTCAGGGTCTCATACTATTTAGAGCATCCTATTATTTAACTGACTGCCAGAATCTATGCTAAAGAAAGACCAAAGCAAGTCACCAAGTTATCCTTGATTTTATTTGAACCACTTCTCACTTACAAACCATTTAGTGTCTAGCTTTAATAGCTCTGTTCAATGCTGTCTGTCTCATATGAGGCAAGAGTAAGGCATGGTGGAAAACACCAGTACACTTTCCAATGTGCTAACTTTACTCTTCTTCTGCTAATATCCAGCTGCATGTTGAGTGCTGCTAATGGCCTGATTCCTCATTAGTGAAATGAAAGGGAAGAGCCTTAGGGAAAGGTGCCTTACATTCTGATTCTTTTCTCCTTCACTCTTTCCCTTAAAGTCAGCAAGACTGATCTGAAAGAGACATGCACCATGATTCAAAGTGCAGCAATAGGCAAAATTATCTTTAATTGAAGTTTTCCTCTTTTTGTGTCTCAAAATCTAGAAGGTAGAGTTCTTATTACTCTTCTCCTAGATTTTCCACTCCCTGGGGAACACTGACCATATGAAAAAACAACTGAAGAGATGGCTGCCTAAGGACAAAAAGGTACAACTGACAGGCATTCAAGCCACACTACAAAATAAAAAACACAAAAACAACAACAACAAAAAACTGGATACCTCTTCTCAGCCAATAGGAGAGTAGTAAAGGAGAATTTCAATGTCAGAAGCTTGAACACATAAAATAAAAAAATAAAAATAAAACTAACAAAGAAAATATCCGTAGAGGCAAAGGCCAGCAATAAATTGGTTTTACATCTGGGGGCAATGTGTTGTGCTGAGCTTAAGTGTTTTAGGACATTCAACTCTAGGAGGGAGGGAACAGAGCCTGAGTTGTTTCAAACAAGTTCTTTTTTCTGTCAGAATGTTTAATTCCTATTACATTCTACAGTTATTCCTGAGAACAGCAAATGGAGAGAAGGGGAAGAACTGGGTTAGTCCAAGACCACCAGAGAAGTGTGCTGCACATATGCATGTGGCAGTGCAATCCAGGGAGTCTCCTAGAAGCTCAGTCACTCTCACTTGACACCAGCAGGGATAGGAGTCAGTCAACAGTATCACTTCTCAGTCCTTACAACTCACAGCTGATTGGCTTGGGAGCAGGAACAGGATGGTGTTATTAGAGAGAATTAATTCAGCATGAATTCTAACAAGTGTGGAATATTTAAATTGGGAAATGTTTGAGATTATCTATGCTTTTCAGTCTTGCATCAGAATTCTTTCTTTATTATTGATTATATATCACATATCCTGTAGTGACCGTGATGTGTCAGATGCAGTACTTCATATCTATAATCCTAGTTTCTTGGGAGATGGAGATCAGAAGGATTACAGTTCGAAGCCAGCCCAGTCAAAAAGTTAGTAATAAACTCATCTTAATCAATAAGTCAGGGGTGGTGGTACTCATCTGTAATCCAAACTAGGTAGGAAGCATAAGTAGGAGTAGGAGCTCTGGGCAAAAATATAAGACCCTACCTCCCCAAAATAACTAAATGAAAAGAGCTGGGGGTGTGACTCAGGAGGTAGAGTGCTGGCCTGCCTAGCAAGCACGAGACCCCGAGTTCCCCATGCCACCAAAAAAAGAAACAACAAACAAAACCCCACAACAACAGGGTGGGGGAGATTTGGCAACTTTGTGAACTCAAAAATTACTTTGTTCCTTTTTAATTATTTCCTCCTTTGCCCTTCTCAAAAACAAATATGTAATGCTATTCAAACTTTTTCTTTCAGCATTCTAATCTGAGTTTCTTTTCACCTATATTTTAGTAATTTCATATTTTTACATAATCAAGACTTAGATGGTTGGTTGCTCCAGGAACCTCCATCACTGTTTTCTCTTCTACAAGAAGAGAAGTTCAGTTTGAGAGTCCAAAAAACCCAGTTTCCCACTTCAAATACCATACACTCTGTTGTCCTAACTACATTTTGGGGATCCCACTGGCTAAATGTGGTTATATGTGGCTCCTTGCAGGACACGCTCATGGAAGAAAATGTGCACAAGGTGAAGCAGCAATTTATGACTGCCCATGATGTCACTGAAGAAGGTCTCATACAGATGAAAGAGGTACCTCTCACCATTGTATCTTTCTTGGCTACACCTTTCTTGACTGTTTCTTTCCTGACTTTACCTTCTGGCTGTAATTTCCTTTGAAAGATAATGGAAATCTTACTGGAAAATTAGAACTTTCTGCAAGGCAGTTGGCTTACATAACCCTAGATTTTTAGATGTAACTGTTTCCATCATTTTTACTCAAAGGCAAATTGTATAGGTAACCAACCATTTGCACTGTAGCTGATGCAATAGTAAAAACCTATCGATGGAAAAGTAAGTATACCAAAGTACTCATGACTGTATGGTCATTGTTGTGTTCTCCAGCTCTTAGAATAGAGCATAGCACACAGTGCTGTCTAATAAATATTTACTGACCTAATTAATGAACAAGTAAAGCATAATACATAATTGAATACTATGTCATTATCTCACTAGTAGCAGGTAGATATTCCTGTGATTTGTTGTGGAATTCTGGGATTTGTAGAGCAACTGATGGTTCCCAATGCTCCATAGAAACTCTCAAGCCCATGAGTGTAAAGCAAGGTCTATTTCCCCTCACAGTCTCCTTCTGTAGCAATGACTATTCCACATACTTAAATTGCACGTATTCATGATGTAAGAAGTGCCCGCTCTGACACGTTTTAGATGTTCTTACAGAAAGCAAGATGGAACCCCCTAACCCTCATGAAAACTAATGTGAGGCTTGGGGATCATCTGTGTATTTGCTTTGTCCAGGGCTTCTCTGTGCCACTCCAAAGTTGAAGACAGAATGGTTTCTAAATATTTGCATAAGTGAGTTACATTGTAATTGTGTTTCTTAGCCTGCAACATCCCTATGTGAAAAAACACTGCTTAGTCTTAAAAAGCAGTTCCTACTTCTAATTGACCTTGCATGGATTGGTGGGACAAACAAAGTCAGTATGGTAGAATATGAAACCTTTGACAAGGTTTTAAGTTTCTCTGAGCTTCAATTTCATCATTTTTACCTACATAGTAGTTACCATTTATGGACTGTTTAATGCATACCAGGTACTTTTGCTAAACAGTTTGTTGATATTGGCTCATTTTACTTTTAGTTTTCACATAAGCATCAGATATCAATATTATTATCCCATTTTACAAGTGAGAAAATTGAGGCATAGAAATATCAATTAAATTGCCCAAGATTACATAATTGGTTAAGTAATGCAGGAGGAATTTGGTTTCACTCTAGACCCTATCACAGTAGAAGGGGAATACATAGTTATTCCAAAGGATTAGTGAGAAAATTTAATGAGCTGGTAAATGAAAATCACCAAGCAAGTGCCTGTCATGTGCTAGGCACCCAATCAATATGTGATGGTGCATGATGCATCCTTGAGCTGACCTACATCCAACAAGAGAATCTGAGATGTGTGAGCCAATCATGCCTAAAACTCACCAACAGCATGTGACTTCTCATGACAATGCACAAGGTGCTGAAAGAAGAAAACTCAGGAATTAACCATCATTTATGGGGATAACTCAAAAGACAATACACACTAAAAGAAATCCAAGAAAACTTGTCAGTGTGCTGAAACAAAGTGTTACAATCAGTAGGGGAAGAAGATATTGCCTGTGTTTATGGGAATGAGTGAAACAAATCAACTTGGTGCTTATATAGGAAACTGGTTGGTTGAACTTATCATATTTGAATATTAGAATATCAAATAGACACTGATAATGGTAAAAAGTATAAAACATAGCCAACATTCAAGGACTCAACCAGAGAGCATTATTGCTGCTTTTACATATGGCACTGAAGTACTTTGTCCATATAGCATCTCACCAACAAAGCACAGTGGGTAAGTGTGTGGGCTCAAGATTGCCTGAAATCTGACTCTCAACTTAAACGCATTTGACAAGTTTTTTATCTAAGTTTCCCAATCAGAAAATACTATTAATGGCATGTGCGTGCCTTATGGGTGATTGTTAGATTAGATGAATTAGCATATATAAAATCTTAGAGCAATGTGGACACATATAAATTGCTTGTTTTTTTCCTACTATATAGAGTTAATTTAATATTGTTAAGTTCTTAAATTTTTGAGAAATGTATTACTACTTAGTATTTGGAGCTATGAAGGTTAAGATACTTTTCAAAAGAAGCAATAAGTAATTAATGACAATGAAGTGTACAGAACTGCAAGCAGGACTCTCTACCTTCAGAAGATCTGAGTCCTCTACCCTTAGCATGTACCTGTTGCCCAGGGAGCACCCTTGAAATGGATACTAGCTAGTATCTATGACTGCTATTCTTTGTTTCTTTAGGCTTGCCTGTATGTTCCTGTCTGAGGATGAAAACTTTCTTCTGCTCTTCGCCTGGAAACACCCTTAGACAACAGTGTGGAGTTTATGCAGGTAAGTGGTTGTGTCTCCATGGAAAGAGGTTGTTGGCTGCCAGCCCTCTTGCTCAGTCCCTAAGGTAGAGCTGTGCACAGAAGACAAGATCAAGCAAAGAAACCCTTAGTAATGAGCTGGGCCTTTAGCCCCAAATCCCATGTGCTCTGTCTTTACTGGCCTGGGCTGCTCCTGAGCTGACAGACTCCATTGACTTGGGTAGAGGAAAGGCTTAGGCAAGGGCCAGGCTGGTAGGTTGAAGAATGGAATGGGAGGGTGGAGGAGAGTGGAGTGGGGGACTATGGACACTGGAGAGCAGGAGGCCCACCTAGTGGTCCTGTGGAGATCGGATGAAGTGTTGTCTTCTAAGAATGCTACCCTAAAAATCTAGATTCTCTATGAAACTATCTATTTTTAATACTGACAACTCATTCTAGTTTTGAAGGCTCAGTGCAGACAAAACATAATTTGTTAGAGTGCTTATCTAGCCAGTAGACTTACTTCCTGTTTGCAACCACTGGGCTTAAGTAAAAGCTAAAGGCAGTCTTAATGGCCCCTTTGGTGTCTTTCCTCTGGGAGACCTCTCTCTCAGACTCTAAGTGCTACTGCTCTGTTAGTGAAAAACACCAGAGAAAGGAAGACCAGAGTGTATCCCAATCCACAGCAGCAGACTCAAAACAGTCACTGTATACAGGGCCCCACTTCTGAAATAGTTACCATGGTTCCAGTTAGGAGATGATAGCATAGCATCCTTTTGCACTATTTTGTTTATCTTCATGAATAATAAAGTAAGAGCATGCATAGGCAATTCACAAATGAAATTTGAATGGACCACAAATAAATTCAGATAACCCAAAACATGCATAATTAAAATAGCTATTTTTCTTTTGGTAGTACTGGGTTAAAATAACTTTTTTTTTTTTAACAATCAGAGTGGTAAAGAATTTTACAGAATCCATAAAAGTATAAGTGTAATTAAGCAAGTCCTAAGATAGTCACTAATGCTTTATTGGTAGCCATATACTGTGGAATAATTTTTATGGAAAGTAATTATGAAAAAAATTCAATCAGAAGCCTCTAAAATGTCATTATCTGAGTTAATCTTGTCAAAAGTCTTACTTTTTTGAGATTTTAAGAGTTACTAAGCTAAAAGACTGCTTTTCCCTGTGTGTATTTCATGGGTCTAATCAAAGATGTAGACAAAAGTTTCTCTAGAATGATAGACATTAAATGATGCAGTGTTACTTGTAGTTAAAAATCAAACATAACATAAATACTAGCAATGCAAGAAAAATAAAATCACTCATGATACGTTTATGTGATTCATTCCACAAATACTTACGAGCACTTTGATATGCCTTGAAACTATTCTAGATGCTACAGATTCATTACAGAAAAATCTCATTGTCAGACATTATGTATTACTAAAAATCAAATTTCCAAGAATGTTTTCATGACATGAAGGAAGTGAAATATATTCTTAAGAAAATTGTATATGCAATGTGATCTTAATATTGTTTAAAAAGCTGTTCACCTTAATACTTGCATTAATAAAATAGTAAATACACAAGCTAGATAATGGTTGTTTATAAATGGTAGGATTTTAGGTGTTTTTCATATTTGTTGTACTTTTATATTTTAAACTGTATGTAGAATCAAAATTATTTAAAACTTGCTTTAAATGACATTTTCAAAATGATTTTTGTTTAAAAAAGTCAAAAGTTTTAAATGAAAACAATTAACAAATCAAGTTTATAGACAGATATGGAATTCAGTTTTGTCAAAAGCATGGAAAGGAAACACATAGAAGCGATAACCAATTATCTTGGGTGGGAATTTCTGATATTATAGTTTTTATTTCATTGATTTTTTGAATGATGAACATGATTTTAAAATCAGAAAAAAGTATTAAAATGTTAGGCCTCATACAGTCTAGAATAATCTTGAGAAATTGGAAAAGGAAATGGTGTTAAGGAGTCTTCTTGTTATAAAAAAATTCTATTTCTCCCATCTTGTCTAGTTTGCCAATTTATTCTGTAAAGAACTTTTCCTTTCTCTGCACAATGTTCTTTTTTTTTCAAATATCATTGTGAATTCTTTTTTTTAAATTATATTGGCTGTTACCCATTATATCTTATATATTTTAAGAAATTCTTTTTTTTATTTGTCATGCTGGGTGGGGGTATGCTGTAGCATTTACAAAGTTTCTTACAATGTATCAAATATATCATATTTGAATTCACCTTCCTGGGCTTCTCTCCCCCATGCCCCTCCCCTGATTCCTAGAACAGTTTCAACATGTATCATTTTTCCATTTACATACAGGTGTATACATTGTTTGCTGTATATTCATCTCCTCCCCCACACTTCTGCTCCTGTTCTCTGATTTTGTAGAAGAAAAAATATAAAAGATAACAAAACATGGTGCTTTTGCTAGTAGATAGCTACACAGGAGTTTCCCTGTGTTTGCCCATACATATGTGTAATATGGCTTAAATTGAAGAAATTCTAACTTAACACTTTAGCTCTTAACACAACTCAAGTCTCAATATTATCTATCTAGGATAGTATTTCTGTCTTTTCTTTTTTCTGTTTTTCCTTTTCTTTTTTGTGGTGCCGGGGTTGAACCGAGGGCCTTGATCGTGCTAGGCAAGCACTGTACCACTGAGCTACAGCCCAGCCCTATCTTGTTTTCGTAACACTACAATTTTTATTCAATCAAGATTTGTTCAATTTGCCCATACGTTGTCTGTTATCTTTGCCATTTCTTTTTTGCATCTTAGATTTCCTTCTTCATGTTTTTCTTTCCTCCTACAGTATAACCTTTTCCTAAGGGTTTTTGTTAATAAACTATTTGTTTCTTTAGAAATCTCTTTACTTTGCCTTCATTATTTAAAGATTGGCTTGCTGAATATCCACATAAAAGTCTTTTAGTCTCCAATGGATTAGCTGTAATAAAAGTGTAAGACCATTAGATGGAGAATGCTTGGTAAATAACATTCTTAAACCACTTAAATTGTTTTTAAAAATTACTTGAAATTCTTATAATTTTGGTATGTTCACCCAACAAAAGGTAGAATATAAATCACACCTAAATACTGATTTTGTAAGCCTTACTAAATTCAGACAAAAATGACATAGACTGAGTGAAAAGAGTGACATTTTTGAACAGTTCTTACTAAATATGGATGAAGATCAACACCACCCTCTATCCCTGCAGGGCCTCTGGATCTTGCCTACTAAAGGAAAAAAAAATACTTCATGCTACTTTCCATTCTGTACAGGAGTTAGGGAGCTTGCCACTGATGTGAGCTTGCCCATGGAATGATCAGAGGTGGTTAAAGGAACAGCATTTATTAAAGAAAGCAGTTTGTGGCCTCCTCAAAGATTTTTAGCTGTTCTGTCTTATATATAGTTCAGCATGCAAATGTGTCTTCAGTTGGATGAATGCTGGCCTCAGATTAGTGAGGGAGATGGCTTCTCACTGGGAATTATCATCAGAGCTAACTTATTCCCTCCACTTACAGCCAAGCCATGAGGGAAAGATGTCTCTAGAAGGTTTACTGCAGTGTATTTGTTGGTTGTACTTTTTTCTTTTGAGACAGGATTTTACCAATGTAGAACAGGCTGATCTCTAACCCACCATTCTCCTATCTTGCTCCACAATGCTGGGATTACACATGTGCACCACAACCTAGCTTTTTTTTTTTATTCAGTGCTTCATTAAGTTATCGCTCTTTAGTTTTAGTTTTAAACAGGTGATCAGTCTGATTGCCACCTGTGTTTGTCCTGGGATTTTGTTCATGTGTACAATGGATGCACTTTTCTGATAAATCTGTGTGTCTATTCAGCATGCAAATGTGTCTTCAGTTGGATGAATGCTGGCCTCAGATTAGTAAGGGAGATGGCTTCTCACTGGGAATTATCAGAGCTAACTTATTCCCTCCACTTACAGCCAAGGCCATGAGGGAAAAGATGTCTCTAGAAGGGTTTACTGCAGTGTATTTGTGTTGTACTTTTTTCTTTTGAGACAGGATTTACCATGTAGAACAGGCTGATCTCTAACCCACCATTCTCCTATCTTGCCTCCACAATGCTGGGATTACAATGTGCACCACAACCTTAGCTTTTTTTTTTTAATTCAGTGCTTCATTAAGTTATCGCTCTTTAGTTTTAGTTTTAAAACAGTGACTCAGTCTGATTTCCACCTGTGTTTGTCCTGGGATTTTCTCATGTGTACCATGGATGTACTTTTCTGATAAATCTGTGTGTCTAGAGATAAGCAGATATAGTGGGACAGGCTTTGTTTCAGTCCTACATTGCATATCTGGATGTGTGTGTCCTTATCATGTTAGTTCCCTTAGACGTCCTCTCACTTGCTTGCTAGCTAGCTCAGCTGTTCATTTAAAGAGTTGTTTCAACAGTATCCTGCATTTTGGGGTATTTTAGTACAAAGATTTTTTAGCTTGCTGCATTGCCCCAGATCAAAATCTATCCCTGCTCTTTCCATTTTGAGCTTTCCAAAAGAACCCTGGCTTAGTGGTCCTCTTCAGTGGCTCCAAATGAATGCCATGATCCATTTCTGCTGAGTTCCATACAAACAATTTGCTGTCACCAATGAAAGCCTAAAACTCCCTGTAAAAAGTCTTATTTTCATTTAGTTAAGTACTCATTTTCAGATGCAGAACTATAGAAAGCAGCATGAGTCAACCCCAAAGAATTTAAAGATAATCAGTTTAATGACTTTTGATATTTCAGATTTGGCGCAAATATGATGCAGACAGCAGTGGCTTCATATCAGCTGCTGAGCTTCGCGTAAGTGTCACTGGGAATGTCACTGGGTAAAGGGTGGGTTTGTGTGCCTTGGGAATTTGATATATGTGTATCATAAATTTGACTTCTGTGGGCCCAAGAAATGTAGATTTGAATTTGTTACTTTTAAAAAAGTGTATTTAGGTATAGAAGATGTAGGAAGTGTAAGTCATATTACTGTCTTTGGGAAGGAGGTATAATTGAGCATATTTGATTGTATTTCATGCATGGAGCTTTTCTCTGGGTTTCAAGAGCATCCTTTGTACAGTGGCAGCCCTCCATTCTTGAACTTATTGCTGTTGAAACCATTTTATTTTCTCTTTAGAACAAACCACACTCCCTAAAAATAAAGGCCTCTAGAGGCCTTGACAGATTATTTGCTCACTATATAAAATGTCACTTTTATCTTGGTGTGGCAGAATTTCCTGCGAGACCTCTTCCTTCACCACAAGAAGGCTATTTCTGAGGCTAAACTGGAAGAATACACTGGCACCATGGTGAGTAACAGAGTGTTATCTCCATGAGGGTACCTTTCCTGCTGCCTTCTCAGATTCTCAAGAAACTTTTGCAGCTAAGTGAATGCATGAAAAACATTGGTTAAAATTGAGCTATTGTAGCTTCTCTCAGAAGCAGGTTGCATGGATTTAAGAGAGAAGGCTGTTTACCTGTCTCTGGGGAGATCAGAAAAGTTCAGTCAACATTAGGTTTCTAAGCACCAGGCCAATAAATTCACTGTTAATCAAAGTCACACAGAAACAGGTAAACATGGACCTTGACAATCAGGACTAAACAAATGGAAGCTTCCTGTCACCAGAGTGGATGGTTCTACTCATCTAGCTGTTGATTTGGAGCAGTAAAGTCAGATGGAGGGAGTGAGTCATTAGTGGCTATGACTTGGGAAAAGTGTTAAGTCTCTTAATTTTGATTTTCTTTTTCCATGAAATGAGGATCAATAATGCCTAATTACTATAAGGGTAAAGTGAGTCGATACATATGAAGCACTGTACACTGTGTAGAACATATGAGCACCCAATAGACATTGGCTCTTATTGGTAGTGTGATCCTTATTATTTTCACACTCCTTTTTTGGCATCCTGTACCAAATGCCCCTAAGATGATTTCATGTCAGTTTCCCTGAATAATCATAAGAAGATATTGCCTTTGGTGAACTCATTCATCCTCATATTCTCCTTCAATACTTAACTTGATGCATCTCTCCCAGTACTAGTCCACAATTTGTACTGAATTGTATCTGCTCCTCTACCTACTTGCCTTCCCCTAGCTCCTTTCTATCCTCACAGTGTGTGCTTATTTTCAAATTGCAAACTATCATATACTAATGAAACTATTAATATGCTAATAAAAATGTTTTAAATATTTTGGCCATTAAGCGATCACGCTATTATAATAAAGGCCTTGAATTGTGGTTATCCAGGAACCAAAACTATTTAAAGATCAGGTAACTGTGAAAAGCTAAGTTACTCAACAGGCTAATTAAACTGGAGCTAAGCTCCCTGCGCTTTCAGTCTCCATTTTCCACCTCTCTTCCTTTTTTTTTTTTTTTTATTTTTTTTTTTCCTTTTTCTTTTTATTCATATGTGCATACAAGGCTTGGTTATTTCTCCCCCCTGCCCCACCCCCTCCTTACCACCCACTCCACCCCCTCCCGCTCCCCCCCTCAATACCAGCAGAAAACTATTTTGCCCTTATCTCTAATTTTGTTGTAGAGAGAGTATAAGCAATAATAGGAAGGAAACAAGGGTTTTGCTGGTTGAGATAAGGATAGCTATACAGGGCATTGACTCACATTGATTTCCTGTGTGTGGGTGTTACCTTCTAGGTTAATTCTTTTTGATCTAACCTTTTCTCTAGTCCTGGTCCCCTTTTCCTATTGGCCTCAGTTTGCTTTAAGGTATCTGCTTTAGTTTCTCTGCGTTAAGGGCAACAAATGCTAGCTAGTTTTTTAGGTGTCTTACTATCCTCACCTCCCTTGTGTGCTCTCGCTTTTATCATGTGCTCATAGTCCAATCCCTTGTTGTGTTTTGCCTTGATCTAATGTCCACATATGAGGGAGAACATACGATTTTTTGGTCTTTTTGAGCCAGGCTAACCTCACTCAGAATGATGTTCTCCAATTCCATCCATTTACCAGCGAATGATAACATTTCGTTCTTCTTCATGGCTGCATAAAATTCCATTGTGTTAGATACCACATTTTCTTAATCCATTCGTCAGTGTGGGCTCTGGCTGTTTCCATAACTTGGCTATTGTGAATAGTGCCGCAATAAACATGGATGTGCAGGTGCCTCTGGAGTAACAGTCTTTTGGTATATCCCCAAGAGTGGTATTGCTGGATCAAATGGTAGATCGATGTCCAGCTTTTTAAGTAGCCTCCAAATTTTTTTCCAGAGTGGTTGTACTAGTCTACATTCCACCAACAGTGTAAGAGGGTTCCTTTTTCCCCGCATCCCGCCAACACTGTTGTTGGTGGTGTTGCTGATGATGGCTATTCTAACAGGGGTGAGGTGGAATCTTAGTGTGGTTTTAATTTGCATTTCCTTTATTGCTAGAGATGGTGACATTTTTTCATGTGTTTTCTGGCCAATTTGAATTTCTTCTTTTGAGCAAAGTTCTGTTTAGTTCACATGCCCATTTCTTTATTGGTTCATTAGTTTTGGGAGAATTTAGTTTTTTAAGTTCCCTGTATATTCTGGTTATCAGTCCTTTGTCTGATGTAGTGGCAAATATTTCTCCCACTCTGTGGTGTTCTCTTCAGTTTAGAGACCATTTCTTTGATGACCAGAAGCTTTGTGTTTTATAGTTGGGGTTTTTTTGACCATTGTGGGAATTGGGCATTTAGTTTGAGTGAGATGAGGAAAATGCCAGAAGAGTTGAAGCAGAGGATGTGATGATCTGGCTGTTTGTGTTGAAATGAACTCAAAATAGGCAATGATAGAGGATAGAACCAAGAGACCATAAGAGATCCAATGATGCTACCCAGGTGAGATGGTAGCAGGTTGGATCCCAGGTTGGGGTACAGAAGAGTAAGAACTAAATATATTTTAAAGATGGAATCAAGATGATTTTCTGATTTATTAGGTGAGTCAAGAATGACACTGAAGTTATCTGTTGGTAGGTATTGTACCCACTAGCCATGACTCTCCAAGGGCAAGGATGGCATCTTAACTCTTTGTCTAAGCCCTCACATGGGCACTAGCACACAGTAGGCTACTTATTGAAAATTAAACCAAATTTTTAGTTGTTACCTAAGAGCCAACTATGACTAAACTATGACAAAATAAGTACTGTTTCTTTTTGGGATCCTCCTACCTGCCTTGTGTGTTTCTTGATATCCTGCACCCCTTATGGCTCCTGCTCCTCTTAGAGGCCTGATAGGATGCATATGGCACACTTCAGCATTTCATACAGACAGAACTTTCCCTAAGCAGACCTTAATGTCTGAAATTTTTCCCTTAAGCAGACCCTCGTGTACAGAGGAAAGGGTGGCCTGCAGTGCTGAACTCTATCCTTTATGGATGTCCTTGGGGTCCTTCACTGCAGCGTCAGTGGAAAGATCCTGAACAGTCAGTAGTTGAGAGCCATGCAGAATTCAGAGGCAGAGATGGCTGGAAAGCCTGGAACCCCATGCTGAGAACAAGAGGTAGGAGGACCAGGAAAACAGGAAATCAGGCCTCTGCCAGAGCCAGAGGCAGCAGGGGAGATAGTCCTATAAAGTAGCCAAGGGAGAACAGAGATTTCCACTTGGTGTTGTAAAATATCAAAGCTGAGAATGGTCATTGGCAATGTTTTTCCTGTATTCTCTATCTGTTTTTCTGCTAAGCCCTTGTGGCTTTTCTGTTCTTCTATGCTGCAGTTAAATACTCATTTTGTTCTAATTGTCACATTGAGATGATCCTATGACCAGTCAAACTCCAAGTGGCCCCTCATTGACTCTTTATACACTGAGCTGATAGCTAAGCATTGGGGAACCTTGTGAGCTTCTACCAAAGATCAGAGTTTGATCAGAACATGAAATGAGTCTAAGGAAATTTTGGCAAATCTTTTTTTCATTTCTTTCCCTAAGTTATAGAGGCAACTACACTTACCAACAAAAAGATTTTGGAACTGGACCATTGGGGTTTTTTTTAAAGGAGTTTTTACATTTTCCTAGAGACTTACTTTTTCTTGAGTTATAAAAAGTATTAACTTTTAGAAACTGCACTTTCTTGAAAAAGACTTCTATATCCTGAGTCCTAAGTGATTCACCAAGTGCAAAATCACATCGTTGCTGCTTTAATGAACTTTTATTAAACAATGAAGGGAGTCATAGCAACACTTTGTGAAATATTTAGTTCTGAGGTTTAACATCAAATGCTTTTCTTAAGAGATGTAATCTGCTAAATGAATTCAAATTGACTGAATAAGGATTGGCACATTTGAAAAATAGTCTAAAGCATGACTAATAAATGAGCCGAGGCAGAACAGACCATCAGAAATGGAAAGCTGAGGTCTGCACACCTTGTCTTATCCTGATGCCTAATGAATGCTTTGGACAGGGAAGGAAACAACCTATTATAAGATCACATTGTGTCACTGAGTCAGGAGATGCTGACAACACCAGGCAGGGGAAGAGGTTAGCTGTCTAGATAGCATATTATTAAGTAATATTTATTTTTGTTAAATGTAAACTGATACCTCCAGGAGAAAGTAAGTTCACATACCAACTTAAAGAATGGAATTTGGACTATTGCAAAATGAAAAATTAAAATCTGACACTCTGGCAGATAAAGAATTGTATGGTGTCAATCTGGTTATCATCCTCTATCCTGGTCTTGGCTCTTATTTTTCATCTTGGATTAAAGCAGCTGGCTTCCTATTGGCTTCCTCTCCTGTTCCAGCATTTACTTCTGATACAAACCAGCCTGAAACATGTCTGGGCTCAGTCCTAAAATGCCTTCTCTTTCTGTATCTACTGGTAATCTCAACTAGTCTCTTGATTTTTAAATACTAACTAAAGGCTGATGATCTCTAATTTATAATCTGACTCAGACTACTTAACTGAATTTCTTGGGTAGACTTCAATGTGCATCTCCGCTTTCATATCCAATATGTACCTCAAACTTAGAATGTTTAAAATTGAAGTTCTGACCTTCCATTATAAACCTGTTCCACTGGTGATCTTCTTCATCTTGGTTAATGTGAACTTGTCTCAAGTTGTCAAGAGAAAACTCCCTTGAAATAATCTTTAATGCTTTCTCTATCACTCCATATCTAATCAGAAAATCCCATTGGTTACTGCATTTAGTTTGTATTCTGTTGCTATAACAAAATACCCAAAGCTGGATAGTGTATAAAGAAAGAGGTTTATTTAACACACAGTTTTGGAGACTGAAACATCAAGATTGGATCACCCATCCATTTTGTCTCTAGTGAGGGCAATAATAATGGCAGGAATGTATGTGAGAACCACCATATGGTCAGACAGGAAGTCAGAAAG